TTACTAGCATAAAAAAATCTCCGGTCGGGCCGCAATGCATTATGGGATATGCTGGGCCGGGAAGGATCCATCGGACCTGTCCTTCGATTCGGGCCAAAGGTAGGACGTATTTGTCGGAGGAGTCTTCGGTTTTGGACGGCCTCTGTCGCGGCGCTGTGACGTATGCGGCCAACAAATTCGACCTTCGGAGGACATGGCCTGCTGTTTTGGACACAGTAAAAGAAAACTACGCTGGATTTTAACATTCAAGATGGCCGCCACAGCCAGTTGTAAAGTTTTTAAACTATTGAGCTGAAATTTTGTGTAATCGTTGCTGACGATCCAAAAAACCTGCTGAATGCTATTCACAATTACAAGCTAACCGCTAGTTTTACGAAGAGCTATAATTCAGCCAGTTTTAGACAAAACTAAAAATTGMTGTAGAAGTAGCCGAAAACAATTTTTACCTGATTCTAAATGCTAATCAACTTAAATMAAATGGCTACATTTCCGCCACTTTAAGACTTATTTAGCTGATATTGGTTGTGGTGTAGCAAAGAATGATTGCTGTTTCTAATTAAAGCTAACCGCTAATGCTAATTTTACAAAGAGCTAGAATTCAGCCTGTCTTAAACAAACAAAAACTAAAAATTGGTGTTGTAGTAGTAACTAACTTTAAATGTCTAGAACTCAGCCACTAACCGCTAATGCTAATTCAACAAAGAGCTACAATTCAGACATGATACAGCTGAAATTGTACATGGTAGCAGCCYAAAACAATCTATCTTATTGCAAGTGCTAGTCAACTTACTTAAATGGCTATTATTCAGCCACTTTAAGTTTTATTTTGTTGATATTTGTTGTGGTGTAGCCAAGAATTATTGATATTTCTAATTAAAGCTAACCGCTAATGTTAATTTTACAAAAGTCTTTAATTCATCCTGAAATTGTATATGGTGGTGGCCAAGAATAATGTTTAACAAAATCTGAATGCAAATACTAAATCCAAGATGGCCACCAAAGCTAATTTCAAATTACTACAACTCAGACAATTTTAGAAATACGGAGCTGAAATTTGGTACGGTGGTAGCCAAGAGCAATCCCCATGACATTTTGAAAGCTTTCTAAAGTTTAAACTAAGGGCTAATGCTAATGCTAAGATTTTCATGRGGTGGTAGCTGAAAGATGCCCAAGAGATTCTGAATTGAAAAAAAAAATCCAAGATGGCCACCAAACCTAAATTTAAACGGCTACAATTCAGCTATATTTWGACATATTGAGTTCAYATTTGGTGTGGTGGGAGCTGCGATCATCAACATATAGCTCAGTCAAAACATAAATTTAATATAGCGATCATGTGGCATCCTTAAAGTTTGTCATAAAAACGTTTCTAGTTGCTCCACGTCAGTGGTGTGTTACTGACCGGCCACTAGATGTCGCCCAATTTTCATTAGAATTATTACACACAAGTCTAGAAAAGTTTTTTTTTTCTTTACGCAGTTTTTGCTCTAACGGACCATCTTTTATTGCCAAACACAATCTCCACCCCACTTGTTAATCCTTTTGGGGGTGGCCAATCAGGTGCCAGGATTGGCACTTACCACTTCGGCCACCTCTCTGCCTCCGCCCCGATTTTAATACCTTGAAAAAATTTAACTAAAATCCTAAAAAAMAATGCCTAAAATCTGTCCGTCATTCCGAAACACTTTTTTTCCCCACCTGGAAGGAGCCGAGGCCGAGCTCGAACACCAGACGCTCCCTCTTGCTGACGTTCTCAGGAGAGAAGGCGAACACGGTGTAGTGGATCCCAAAGAGCGGGATGAGCAGCAGCGTGGAGCGGGCCAGCCTCCTGCAGAACAACACGCAGTCAGAACCGTTTTAATGGGAGAAAACCTAGTAAAGAACTTTTATTCCTAATATCCCTATACATAACACATAAATTTCATCTTAGTTGAATTTAAAGATTATTTATTTCTATCAAACCAACATTTAAGTTTATAAATTTCTTTTCCAYCAACCTCCAAAAGCTGTTTTAAATCATCCCCAGGACAAAAAATAGTWGCATCATCTGCATTTACAAAAAATACATACATTTGTTGTAAATATATCATTAATATACATAYTAAACAATTTGGGACCCAGAACAGATCCTTGTGGAATACCACAGGTAATATTCAAGCATGAAGATTTGGACTGACCACACGTTGCTGTCTATCATCAAGATAACCTTTTAGCCAGTTACTTGCTGCCCCTCTCACTCCAAATCAAACATTCATCCTGAACGGTTCTACGAGTGAAGGAGGAAACACTTACAGGTAAATGCTGGATTCGTTCCCACCGATGTCTGGGGACTGCAGCTTCTGGACCAGGATGACGATGATTCCGATGAAGAGCACGAAGTTGACCTGCAGTCATAAAGATCAAATTTAAACAAACCTTTGTTATTTTCTTGTTATTTGGAGGACTTTAGGCCCTAAATTCTTAATTTATTATCTAAAGCATGTGTTAAATTGCAGGCCCGTGAGCCGAATTTGGCACGTGGCTCTGAGTAACTGTGGCCCTCAAAGTAATTTAGTWGAATATCTCTGTGTTAATATCTTAAAATAAACTGCTTTAAAGCCAGCATTAACCATAAACCACATCTCCCATAATACATGATGGTTATACTTGGGAATTCCCTGTTGGAAAGTGGGAGAGTTCAGAATTCAAGACTCACCACAACGCAACAGTTTTAACTTTTAACAGTATTTCTGTATTATTCAGTCAGTCGTACACATAGTACTTTTCAGTGTTTATAAGAGGATGTGTTAAAATGCTGTTTCTATGCAGGAAATACCAGGTAGAGCTCAGTTAGTCTTAGTGAAGAGGAACATGACATTTTCTGTTCAACATTTTCACGCTGTGTCTCAATTCGTGGTGARGTAAGCGTCYGCCGCTTACGTCACCGCCCCGCGCCGTAGGCTGTCCCAAATTATAGGCGCCTACACATGCGACCAACAAAACCCCGAAAACTTCGACTGCTACGTGTCCGACGTTATCCCAGAATTCATTGTGCCGTTTTAATTTTACGACAGTATTTTTAATTTTTTTAAAAATTTTATTTATTTATTTTTTGTTAATGACAGAGTTTGGAAATTTATCATGGACTGAAAACTGTAAGTTAACTTAGCTGAAGACAGTTTTGTTGCAATGAGATGTT